AAGGATACATACAAATTTTAACTTACAAACATTCTTGAAATGATAAAGAGACAGCAGCATTGGGGGAAAAGGTTTGATCCACTCTGTCAGCTGGACTCCAAATTACAAGCAGTATCTTTACCTCAGTTATTTTTCTTTCAGTGCTTTCTTTAAGCAAGTGAAATTATTACAACTTATCAAGTCTAAGCAAAGCAAAAACGCACCTGCATTTAAAAAAGAAATCAGTCTGTGTTCCACATCTCATTAGCAGAGTGAAGGACAAATGCAGAAATCTGGGAGGCTCTAAAAAGGTACTGAGTTCAAAAAAGTAACTTATTGTAAAACCATTTTCAGGGTTACATTTCGCACCAAAACTGGTGCTGCAGCAGCACAGGTGACACCACTTTAGCCACCATATGAGGTTCTGAGGGACTCAGGCTAATGCTCAAAAAGCATCACGCAGCCATTTCCACTTGGAAGGTTCTCAGAACTTCCTCATGGTCATCTGCTGCAGGTTCCAAGAACGGTTTTGGCACCAATACTGCTCAATATTCACAAACAGATCAAGGTTTCAGAATAAGTCACTAACTGGGTAAAGGTCACTTGAAAACAAAGCTCCTATTTGTGCCTTGTAAGAGCAAACAAGATTATGAAATTCTGTCTTCCACAGGGAATGCATCCCCCCCTCCCAGACACGTCCCATCAGGCAGGCAAGGCAGGCACACGCACTTGGAAAAGACAACAACATTCTTTCCATTTCAGTAACCCCTCACCCTGACACCGTTACAAGGCAGATAAAGCCTTCCAGATCACCCATTTGTTGCAAAACGCCCCCCCCCCCCCGCGAGGTCACCAATTGTTTCTCATATTTTTTGCCAGCAGGAACACAAGTGCTGTTGTTGCACAGTTCCAGCGCTGGATGGTCGACGGCCAAAACCCAAATACGAGCACATGAAAGTTGGCAGATCTCTTTGATGTGCACCCACACTGTACTGATTTCTTTTGTACAATTTGACAAGACCATGAAAATTGTCTGAATGGGGTAAAATTATCCAAATGTATCCATTTTTTTTCCCGAGGTGGGGGGGGAGGTGGCTATATCAGATCCAGTGTTCATGCCTAACAGCACAATTTAAAAAATAAAGGAAGACAAGCCTTGATCCCGAGCCACTTCATGCTTTCCACAAAAAAGAAATAAATAAAAAAAAAAAAAAAAAAAGAAGAAGAAATAAAAGCCAAACCATAACACAAACTTAAGTAGCCGCATATCATGCACATCTTTTTTCCTGCATTGAAAATGGTTTTGGAAACTCATACCTCTCCAGGTGGCTTCTCATTTACAGGCTAATGTATAACATTAACAGATTGAACAAAGAACAACAATTATCATTAACAACATTGATACTAAAATTGATAATAAAATGCAGACTTTAAAGCAAACACACAGAGCCCTGGAAGAACAATTCCCATACCTTGTAGCCACATCTCTGGAAGTAGGCCTCCTCTTCCTTTTTAGCTAACTCACTGCGCTTGAAATACTTCTTATTTCCCTAAAAGAGAGGAGAGCTGTCACCAGCTCACAGTTTTGTGTGGTTATGCAAAGCCAGCTCACACCTTCTCACTCGGTTTGGTGGATTCAGCTACATCCTTTCCCAGGGATGGGAAAGGGTCTTTTCCAAGGAAACAGAACTAGTTGGAAGCACCTCTGAAATCAGCAATACAGATTGACTTGGCAGATTATAGGTATGAGCAGAATTGAAAGCACAATGTGCTCACCAGCACTTTAAAAGGAACATGTTCTTTGCCACGTAAAGGCCCTCGTGAGGTCGTCGTTGCAAAGTTTCACTTCAGACGTGCCCAACAGGGCCCAGGTTGTTTGGACAAACCACATAAAAGGCGTGGTTTACATTTAATTCTACATTGAACTAAGGAGGTGGGAGAAATCACCTTTGCACAGAGCATTTTACGAGCTTTCTCGCAGAAACGTCCCTGAAGAGACATCCCAGACAGCTGGAAAAGGTGGTCACCCCAAAGCATTTTGTTTCATTAGGACGAACTATGACTTCTTCCTTGGCGGTTTGCCTGCCTGGCCTACGAGAGCCTCCGGTGCCAAACCCCAAACTCGGGCAGCCCTGGAAGCGCTCTGCTTTGCTGAGGGGTTTTTAGGCACTCACACGGAGCCCTGAGGGCAGGGGTGAGAACACAAACCGCGCTCTGCTCACCACGGGGCGCTGAAACAACTAAACCCACTCCCAAACGCCACGGGACACCTAAACTCCTCCCGAGTCCTGCCCGACCCCATCCTGAGCCACTCCTGCTCCTCTTTCCCAAACACCATCCCAGGTTCGGGAACCTCCGGCCTGGGCAGCTCCGATCCCCCCCTCCCCGGGCCTGTCCCGCCTCGCCCGCGCTCCGGGCGGCTCCCGGCGCCCCTCCAGGCCGCCCTCACCCCCAGGAGCTCCTTCTCCTCCAGCTGCTGCCGCTTCCTGCTGATCTCGCGCTTCAGGATGTCCATGGCGGCCCCGGGAAGTGCCGCTGGAAAACAACGCCGTCACTTCCGGGACGGCCCCGCGGCGCCGCGCGGCGCCCCCTGGCGGCCGGGAGGAGCGGCGGGATTTGGGAGGGGGGCGGCCTGTCCCCAATCCCAAGGGACGGAGTGGCGGGACCGGCAGGGAAGGGCCTCGAGTTGCGCCGGGGGAGGTTTAGATTAGATATCAGCAAAAGTTCCTTCAGTGTCCGTGTAATGTCATGCTGCTGAATGTTTGAAGTGATACACAGAGAGTGTAATGGCAGTAATTATGATACGGAGCAAAAATGCAGATGCTTTCTACCAAGGAGTGTAGCAAAAGAGGTGAAAGGTTAAGTTTTGAAGAGGTCTTTCCCTATTTTAGTGCAGCTGTTTTTATAAAGGGGTGTTACTCACAGGTTCTTTAAAGAGAGGCTTCGTGCAATTCATTCAGGTGTCTTCTCTGTTTGGCTTAAAAAATCTTTGGGGCAGAGTCTCTCTGACTGTGTGTTTGTGCAGTGCCTGGTGCGATGGGCCTCGGCTGCAGACGACAGCTAATATCAGATAAATCATGGCATCAGATATGAGGAAAAATTTCTTCACCAAAAGGGACCCTGTCAAGCATCCGAACAGGCAGCCCAGGGAAGTGGTAGAGTCACCACCCCTGGAGGGATTCAGGTGAGATGTGGATGTGGCCCTTAGGGACGTGGTTATTCGTGGGTTTGGCAGTGCTGGGTTAATGGTTGGACTCAATGATCTTAGAGGGCTTTTCCAACCTAAATGATTCAATGAGGCTTGTTACTGGGCAGTCCTGCAGGGTGCAAATGCCACCTGGGAATGGCAGGATGCCTTCCTGGCTGCTCCCGGAGTGGGTGTGACTCTGCCACCAGCCAGCTCAGTCCAAGAGGCCTAACAACACCCCAGGGGAAATCATAGCACCATTTTGGTTGCAAAAGACCTTTAAGATCATCGACTCCAGGTGAAACTACACCAACAAACAGTGGAGGGTTTAACTGCAGGTGATCCAATATACCCCGCTCCTTCCCCAGGTGCTGGTATTAAAAACCAGTGAGAAGATGAGAAAGATTTGCATTCCCTGTCCCCTGTGCTATCTGTGTACCAGAGACAGGGTTTTGGGATTTACCTGATGCCTGGTTTCTGCTTCCTTCAGGCCTAGAGGACCGAGGTAGCTGGTAGGGACTGAGCTCCTCAGTGTGTATTTCCCAGAGGTAAATGCCCTTGTCACCAGGCACACAGCATTTGTGGCATGGTCATGAAAACAAAAAAGTCTCATGTTTTGCTTTTTTTCCTGGGTTTGTCCAGCGTTTTCCATCCTGTGGCTTGTAAAGTCCAAGGGGTCAGAAAAACTTGAAAGAATGAGTAAGAACAGCCAGTTCTCACTGGCTCATTTAGCAGGGCCATACCTTGCTGGAAGCAAAGGCCACCAAACACTGAAGGGTGGAACTCACTGTGGCTTTAGCTCCTCTTAGGAGCAGCCTTGCTGGTGGCAGCACCTCTGTCTCCTGCCCCCACTTGCTATGGCACACAGCAACTTCTCCCTCCCTAGGTCCTTCCAGATTTTTTTTCACCTTTAGGTCCTCCCAGATTTTTTCCTTGCCTTTCCCCACTGTAAGTTCCATTCCTCCAGTAGCTGTTTGGGAGGGCTGTAACCACAGTTGGCTTTTCACCTGGTTTAGATAACCTGAGCCATGTGCCAGGGCTCTTCCTTGCAGAAAATAGTTTACAGGTTTTGTTTAATCCCAGGCTGGAGGGTTCTGGATTTAGAAGTAATGCCCTGCTTTACCTCAGGCTTGAATGCAATCGCTTTGCAATGAGGAAGGAGGAACAGCCCTCCTACGCTTTTTCATAGTTCTTCTAAGAGGAAATTCTATCACATCTGATGGGGATAGGATCCAAAAATGTCTCAGTGTGAGAGTCCCGGGGTAAAATGTCCACATCTGGGGAAGGGCATAAATTGGGAGGCTGTGGGAATTCTCTGTAGTAGAGCTTGCAAATGAATCCAGATGCTGTGTCAGAGCACCAGCTGCCCCCCTCAGTTAACTGGAGAGTAGACATAACCTTAGACCTGGATTAATTTCCTGCTCCAGTTTGACATTGGCCTGGCTTTGCCCAGGACAGAGATAATTTTTTTTTCCTAGTAGCTGTTACAGTGCTGTGTGTTGGATGTAGTATGAGAAGAACTGATAACACACTGATGTTTTGGTTGTTGCTAAGCAGAGTTTATACTAAGTCAAGGACTTTCAGCTACTCATGTCCTGCCAGCAATGAGACAGGGGGGGTGGGGGTGGGGGTAAAAGAAGTTGGGAGGGGCCAGGACAGCTGACACCAGCTGAGCAGAGGGATGTTCCACACTCTGTGGCATCCTGCTCAGTGTGTAAATTGAGTGGGGGAAAGCTGGTTGAGGGCTGCTGCTTGGAAACTGGCTCAGCAGGTGGTGAGCAATTCCACTGGACATCACTTGTTTTATTCTAATATTATTTTTATTACTACCATCATGATTATTATTTTCTTCCTTTGCTCTACCATTGAATTGTCTTTCTCTCAACCCATGAGTCTTCTCACTCTCACTTTTCCAATCCTTTCCCACATCCCTCTGCAGCGGAGGGGAGAGTGAGAGTGTCTGTGTGCAGGCTGGGATTAAACCTTTAAAACATTGTATCTGAATTTGAGACAATATCAGATGAAGGGGAAAACCAACTCACACAGAATTCACAGGAAAGCTGCAGTTACTACCAGGTGACTCTTAGACCAAAGATCTCCCAGTTTTTAGAAACCAAAACAAACCAACAAGGTGTCAGGGAGGGGCATGAGGGACAAGGAAGCAGCTGAATAGTTTATGTTGCTAAAACGACTTTGGCAAGGTTTGAAAGAAATGCTGTACCTCTAAAAGGTGTCTGAAAGTTCACTAACAATTACTCAACCTTCCACAATTGCCCTTCTTCCAGTACTCCTGGTTCTATGCTCTCTTGCCTCCAAATCACAGCATCCTGTAATGTAAATCCCCTTTGTTATCAAGGCAGTTGTCTTGTCCTGTGAACCAGAAGTGGCAATCTACACGGTGCCACATCTCCTAAAAGAGTTACTTTATGGGCCATTCACTTAAGAGTTGGACTTGATGATCCTTGCTGATCCCTACCAACTGAGAATATTCTGTAATTCTGCATATATGTAGATATGTTTGGCATTCACCAAAGAAAGAAAGGGAGAAAAAGAATCTTTGGTGCCATCCATCTCCTCAGAATTTCTCTTTCTGAAGAGATTACAAAACCCTCTGATGTATAAGAAGTGGTGGTGTCTTCTTTCACTGACAGCTCATGGGGACATCCAGTCTCGCTTCCTGTCTGATCTCCAGGATGGCAAATCTGTTTGACTCCTCTTCGCCTTGGGGTCAGGAAGCATTTCCTGATGGACATTGAGGTTGTTGGATTGTTGAGATGGTTGGGTCAGGTCTCAGCTGGACACTGTTCAAAGCTCCTCTGTCCCTCAGAACATCTTCCTGAGGCCACACCTACGCTGGCAATTCGTTACGGTCCCTTCCTGCTTCTTATGGATCTCTCATCCTTTGACTGTCTCCATTCACACAAATTCCTTGGGTGTAGGGTGGATGTCTGGAGCACCACTGGCTGGACAAGCTCATGGCACACATGAAAGCTCACAGTGTGAGCAGTGGAAACTGTTCCTCCACACCGCAAGAGGATTTCTCTGAGTCGCCATTGTTCTGAGGAGCCCTCAGACTGCGAAGATTGTTTAACTGCGTTATGAAAGCATCCAATTCCTTCCCTGTGCTGGTCCCACATCCATGCAGTGATCCCTTTGATGACATCACTGCATAAGATATTTTCAACATGGTGAAATGTGTGTTTCTCCAAGCTGTATTTCAAACTATCAATTTATCATATATGGCATTACTCTGCTCTTTAGAGTCAATTAGATCACTGTTATAAATCCCAAGCTTCACTATTTGTTTTCTACTGCGCCTGTTTTGCTTTTTCAGGGCAATCCTGCTGGTTTGGTACCACAATGGCTGCGTATTTCTGTCTCACATGTGATTAATAAATGTGATATTTGCTGTCAGGGCTGTAGCGAGGCCTTTAAGCTCTCCCAAAACCACTTGCAGAGTATTGAGAGCTCTCAGCAACTGAGCCTGGGTCTGGAAGCAATAGTGTTACCCGTGTTTTTCCTAGATCCAGGTTTCCACAGACCTCTGGAACAACCCCACGGAGTTAACCACAAAGCTACTTTTAAGTAATTTGCTTTAAAACATTCCATATGAAATCAAGGCTGAGAAGGGAAATCTAGAAGTTACTCAAAATCTTGGAACATTCATAAGAGCCTTGTAAGTAATAGAAATACAAGCTTAAAACATACAAGAGGTGTTTCATTCCAATTTCTTGCTGGTTAAGTGATTGCTCAGCTTTATATGCTGCAAGCCAACTGTCAACTTACAGAAAGATTATTGAAGGCAGCTCAAATAACCCAGTTTCACTCAAATAACCCAGATGTCACCTATTTGTCAAAGTGGTAAAACGGATCAGAATAATTTTGGTTGCTCTCAGCTGTTGTATTCAGTTTATATTTAGTTGTTTTCAGGTTGTATTCAATCCTTCATGGGCACACAGTTTCACTTATCTATTTTATATTAAAACAGGGGAAAACCCTGCCCAGCTCAGCCAGCATATGCTTTCACTTGCACACCGGAGGCAGAACTGATGCTTTACAGCTGACCGAGATTGCAGAAGAACTCATTTCAAGCAACACAGGGCACAGATGACTCTTGGAAACCTTTTTCAGACAGGTGCATGGTTCCTTTTATTCATCTTCAAAACAAAATAAAAATCTGAAAATTGGAAAAAATTGCCTTTGTACCATGACTAAGAATGTCCACTCCTGGCAAAGGCAGCTCCACATCAAGCCTCACTCTTTTCTTCTTTTATTAAAGCTTCCCTTCCTGAACTTTTTGGGAGGGATTAACGCATCCAGCTCCCCATTCTTTATCCCACATTTACTTTGCTTACGGTTATCTCTGGCTTGTCACATCCACAGGGCACCTCTGG